TTGTTTTTAATTGTTATAATTGTGATTTTTAAAGAATTTTTTAAGAAAAATATTGCAGATATGTGTGTGTACAAGTTTGTCGTACGTAAAAGAACATAAAAAAAAGAGTAAAATAAAAAAAAAAAAACAACAACAACAAAAAGAAATGTCAATTAAACTTAATTTTTATTTTACGTACTTTTTACGTACACATTTTCTGCTTGTTCTCGTAACTTTTACTGGTTTTTTTTTTCTTTTCTTTTTGCCATTTCCCCCCTATTATTATTCTTATTATTAATATTATTTTTATTATTATAATTATAATACATACAGAAAGGATATATAATAATTCATTGGAAGGGATTTTTTTTTTGGGAAGGCGAAATTTCTTTTTTTTTGTCAAATGGGGGGAGGGAGGGGGTAGGTGTGTAGAATTTGTTAAATAATTCATTCGAATGATCACAAATATTATTATTATTATTATTATTTTGGACGTTTTTTTTTTTCTTTAAAATAGCATAACCGCCGATTATGTTATTGCTCCAGATCTTAAACTTTTATTTTATTTTATTTTATTTTTTTTAGTTTTACCTCTCGAAACCAGCTCGTATAATTTATACTTTGTTAAATTTCATCCCTTATTACATTTGTTAGTATATATATATATATACTTTTCTTTTGTCTTGTTTGTTTATTTTTTAAATATATCTATATTTATATAATTTTAATTTTTGCACGTGTTTTTTATATGTATGTGTGTATTTATAATGTATGTATATATATATGATTCGTAGAGATGTACAAGAATTTGTTATTATGGCGTTCTAACTATGTAAACAAAAAAAAATAATAATAATAATATTAATTAACGATATTAAAAATAATAAATAAGCTTTAACATGCACGTTGTACTTAAATATATATGTGTGTATATAAAGAAATAAAAATATCGTCAAGGAGGAGGAGGGAGTGGGGGTTAGGGAATTAGGAGCAATGGGGGGGAAAAGATCTGAAAAAGAAATTGTCTTTTTTCAATTCGTCATATTTGTTCACAGAATTAAATTGAAAAGCGTTTTATTATATTTTGACTCGAATTTGTAATTTGTGCTCTAGCAGCATTTTTTTTTTCTTTTTTGTTGTTCATTGTTTTTTTTTTTATTGTTGTTGTTGTTGTTCTCTTGTTAAAGGGATTGTTCTCGTTAAAACTCGAAAGAAGAGAGCGTATCTCGAACAATATTAATATAATTCAATTTAATTACATTTTTCTTTTATTTTATTTTATTTTATTTTATTTATTTGTTTATTTCATTTCATTTCAGTTTTCATTCATTCTTTTTATTATCTTTTCCTTTTTTTTTTTTT